TTGAACAGCAGGCATTGCATAACTTTCCGAATTGGCAATGGATAGACTCTAAATGGAGAGCCCTTTCATCCGAACTGCCAAAATTTAGCATTCATCGAGGTTTTACGGACAAAAACGAGCCGGATATTCAAAATTTTACTGTTCCACTGCAAATAGTCCTCTTTGAGGAGAAGGAAGAGGAATCGCAGTTACCTTTTTGGGAATATTCTGAAAATTCCAAATCCGCCTTTAAAGCAAATATAGGGCAAGTCATTGAAGACCTATGCCGATTACGAAGGAGAGTGCTGTTCAGACGAATGTCTGTTGATTTGGCCCGTTTCCGACTAGACTTTAACACACACCATTGAATAAAGCTTGCAATATGGAGGCATTTAGCGGAGCCATTGCAATTCCGTAAATTTAGGTGAAAAATTAATTTTTCGATGGAGCTTAATATCCTGCAGTGGCCCAGTGTTCCCTTTGCCGCGTGCTACGTTTCGCAGAAAAAATTCAATTTGTTATCGGCTGATTTCAAGAGAAGCGGTACAGGAAAGTTCAACTGGGGATCTTGGGCTCGCATTTGTTTCTCTGGTGTCGAGTACATTGCCAGATGCTATCCAAACACAGATTTGCCACTCCACGAACAAGCATATGCATCCACCGATAATCTGGTTTCCATCTCCAATGCAATTTGTGTTAAAGACACCGAGTATGAAGCCAAAAGCCATGCGGGGGTTATTGCTTGCGCGGCTGAGCATTCCTCAACTGGGGCTACTTGCGTTGCAGATGGGGATGTTCAAACGCCGATGATGGAGCCCATTATTGAGTCTGCCATTGTTGATTGTATAAAAGTTACACTGGCTCTGCAATCTTCAAATGTGCATGCGAGAAACGTGAGACGAAACAGAGAATCGGTACGATTCTTGCAATTTATTTAGGTTATCAAAACCATTCTTGTTACAAGCGGGGCCGTCTTGAAGCAAGGTGCAACAATAACGGTCTTTCCTACCCCCAAACAGATATTTGAATTTAAAGTCGTTCATGACGGCAGCCCTCAAGATTATCTTCGTATTTCGAAGGATACAAACATCATCTTCTCGTACTCGCAAAACAGCAGTTTTAAGGCACAAAATGTACAATCACTTGCATGTATGCTGGGAATTTCGATTTTCAACGAAGACGCATCCTTGATGCGCTTTGCTAATCATGGTGAATATAAAGCATTTCTATGGATCGTTCAAGCTTATTTACAAGTTGATGCCCTGCCTGTTCTTTCGCCTTCGGACGTTATGTCATCCACCATTAGCGGATCACTGGACAATTTTAGGAATTGGATTACAAAGCAAGAGTCCAACTTGAGTGAGCAAAAGATCGTTGTTATCCGAGACATTGAAACATTTAGAACTTTATCGCCGGATTTGAGTCGGGCGGCCGATGGCCCTCTCTGGGATGCCCTATGCACGCTTTTGCATCATCTCAAGAGTTTGTATGGATTTGGTGTTATAAACATTTTAGAAACATCAAGATCATATCTACCACGTTGAAGCCGGCAGATGAGGAGATCCCTTATGAGCTTTTGACATTGTAAGCTTTTGGTCCGCTTATTTTTCGTTTAGTTTTTCCTCAAAAATACATCGCTTCAACTCGATGGGGAAAATTAGCTTTACCTTTTTGACAAAGCTTGTTCAGACGCTTTGCCCTTCGCAAAATATTGGCGATGCTGACTTTGCCAATGACAAGCGGGCGGGTGTGTTGAGTTCTTTGCTAAAATCATGTTCATTCGCAGACATTTTAGATATTTGTCACGATCTTGCTAAAGCATTTCCATTTCCTAAGAAAGAAGATATATCTTCATTTGTTGTTGAAAGATTTGCAGAGAAAAAAAATCTTGGCGAACCCCACCGCTCCAATATGGCAAGCTGGGACGACGTTGGAGGATACCAGGATGTGAAGATGGTACGGAGCCAGTTGATTTTATTTTTAGGCAATAAAGCAGGCTGTGGAATGGCCGCTTTTATATCCAGATGCCTTTTCTAGACTTGGACTCGATCCCTGCAATGGAATTTTATTGCACGGTCCGCCAGGATGTTCTAAGACCTCTCTTGCAAGAGTTGACTTGCAAATAGCTTATCATTTAGATTGCCGCTTCGCAATGCAAGGTCGAATTTATCTCGCTTAATGGAGCAGATATTTATTCGTGCTATGTAGGGGAATCAGAAAAACTTGTCAGGAACATTTTTAAACAAGCCCGGACATCTGTTCCATGCATTTTATTTTTCGATGAGTTAGATGCTCTTGTTGGGGCAAGATCGCTCGGGAACTCCATTGATGGGGTCTCCGGCGGCGGAGGGGGCGCATCCGGCCCAAGCAGCAAAGATGTCGTGCAGGAGCGTATTCTTTCCACATTCCTGAACGAAATGGACGGAATAGAGCCGCTTGCTGCTGGAATCTTAGTAATGGTATGCCTTTCGCTTAAACGAAATCATAGGGTGCAACCAATCGTCTTGATCGAATAGATGCAGCACTTCTTCGTCCCGGAAGGTTTGACAGAATTATCCATGTACGGGTTTGGATTTCTCACAAATAGGTCCCATTGCCAGACTTGGAGACTAGAAAAAATATTTTCCAAGTTTACATCCAAAATTTGCCTGTGCAAAACCCCGTCAAAATCATTATGGAGTTGTCAGAACATACCGATGGGTGGTCTGGTGCACAGTGTAAGCAGGTGTGTAGTGAGGCCGCATTTTGTGCCCTACGAGAATGCCCGGATGCCGAGTTTCTGGTACTTTTTCGTCTTTTACCGGTCATAGAAATATTCACACTTCATTGAGGCTTTGAATGCGGCCAAAAGATAAGGCCCATTTCTATTGAGCTTGCTATAACATTCTCTTCACAGTTTATGGCCCGCCTTGACGAAGCCGAGGTTTTGATTCGGTAGCTTTCTTTGATTACTTTCAATAAATACGACAAAATAGCACATTTTGGCACTGGTAAACCAGCAAAACTGGTTGGCCTTTTGCACGTCTGCATTTTTGAGCGTGGTTTTGACGAAAACACCTTTGTGGGCTACAACCTTGGACCTAATTGTCATTATGGCATCCTATTTACGGAAAAACATTTATGGACAAAGATGAATGATTTTGTGCTTTTTCGCTGCGCATTGGATGATCGGAAGTACATGAAATTTATTTTGGTAACTGTTTTGCTGAAATTAGTTCATTACAAGATCCATCTCTGAAGACTTAACGGCCATTTTCTTTTTCCTTCCTGCCGATATTTTTTCGGCAATTTCCTTCTTTGAAAGGGTAATTGTGGGTGTGCGAGCGCTAAGGGGAGCCTCCACTGCATCGGCGGCCTCTTTGCTTTTTCCTTCAAGAAGCGAAAGCGCCTTACTTCCGGCCATTCTGTTTTCATAAAATCGCATTTCTCGCTTGGATTTTATCTTCTGCACCTTCTCCATCACTTCTATAGTCTTTTCGACGGATTTGACATCGACGATAAGAGGAACATTCCTTCGTTTCTCGAATTCAAAAACAGAATCGCCGATGAGCTCCTTTCCAGCTACCTTTCTGAAGGCCTTTGTCCAACGAACCTTTCTTGGATTTCTCTTCATCTTAAAGTTTTTATGGCACTTTGATCTGCAAAACTTAAAGACCTTGCCATCGTTACGGACAAAAGTGATCCCGTGACCCGGGTAACAGTTAGAGGAGCAAAAAAAACATTTTTCCAATCTCATGGGAATAAAAAATAAAATAAAAACAAAAATTTATTAAAATGCCACAAATTGCTTTCTTTCTATTATGCCGTTTGGCCTTATTAATTGATCGTTAAATAAACCCGATCAGGATTGGTTGCTTAAAGAGATGGCCATGGCAGATATCGGTCTATATTTGCAAGTCTGTTCGTGGGTTTTGGCTCGCGATGGGTATGAAAATGCAGCGTTACATCCAAAACTGGAGTATGTACATTTATTGGCGGAAACTTTCGAAAAGTGGCATAAACTCATATGCCTTTTCAACTGTTTTTGCGTAGAAAAAATCGCATTGCAAAGACCCTCGGAACACTGGGGTGAAAACGCGTAAATTTACCTTTACCAGCTTGGAAGGGATGGTGTCGTTTTTTGTTTTTGAATATGAATGAGAAAGCCTTTCGTGTCGGATCAAATTATCTCGCAGCGCAAAAGTGGACGTGCATGTTGGAAACGGGCAAGGATGCGCTGATCCCACACAGGAGTTATGGATGGACCGTGTGTGGGCAGACAGATGTGTCCTTCTTCTGAATGAAGCTCCACATAGCTCCTCTGGGCACAGGAATGGTCTTTCACCTGAATGGATAAGAAGATGCACCCGCAAATGGGCGGGCTTTGCAAACTTTTGGTTGCAATTTTCATGGGTGCAACAGAACCTTGCCTTTGGAGAAACTTTCAATTGGACGGTGCCATCTTGGCGGTCGCCCATCGCTAAAATAAAATTTAATTTCCAAAGTTTCATGGCAGGTTCATCGCCTTGTAAGGCGGCTTTGGCTCGTTTCTCGCATGTCAATATGTCTGCGAAAGCCATAAAAGCAAGAACATTGGTATCCGGAGATTTACACAGGCTAATCCGTGGAGACTTCTGCAGCCTCCATGGCGGCCAAGGGCATTCCGATGCCTGGGCCTATAAGCCAAGTGGGATGAATCATAATCACGGGAAAAAAAACATTAGCCAACTATTTCGCCTGTCTCGGTTTGCAGTCACACAAAAATGCCATAGAAAGAATCTGAAGCGGTTGGGCCTTCAATAAAATTTGATTTTGATTTTTTATTTCATTGGGTGCATGCCATGCAGTTTTTCATTGGATCTCGGCAAATCCAATTATATTTTCCCTTTCTTATGTGATAAGGATACAATCATTAAGCCGTTATACTTTCTTAAGAATGTTAAATGCGGTGAAGTTTCTGATCCCGCACTTTTTTGCATTCTTTTTGCTTCTCAGCTTTGCTTTAGCGAATGATATACGCACTGATTCCAAAAAAAGTGATGAGAATGCTAAGAAACCATCCTCAAAATTACTCTCGAAACTGCCGTTGAACCAATTGGATGTTCTCGGATCTAAAGGAATCAAGAACATCATTTCTGGATTGGAGATGGGTAGCGGTCTTGATTTTCTTATTGATCTCATTAAAACGCTTAATTTCGAAAAGTTTGCTGTTGAAGGATATTTTATTAATTGCTACATAGACACCTTAATTCTGTGGATTAAGTTGCAGCTAGAAAGGGCCTTTGTGCCTACCGAAACACTCTCCCTGTTCGATTTTTATGATATTCGAGTTCCGGTCTTTGGAGAGTCAATTAAGGAAGTAAAGAATGCAAAATTTCCGGATTTCAACTCTGAAAAATCACTTTCCTCCGGTGCGTATAAGAAGGCCAGCGCAGTGGGGGAGAAATGGCTAGCTTCGCTGCTTAGTTCGACAAAAACAGCGAAAATTAGCAACATTATCGAGGCACTCTCCACAGATGGCCTGCTTGCATCAAGTAACCGATTTCAAATCCCATCTTCTGACCAACTTCAAAGGAAGGAGGCCTCCATGTTTTTTGAAGAAGTTATGGGGAAAATCAGGGTTTGGTTGGCATTTTCGACCGAAAACGATTTTTCTAGCACCAATAATATCCAGAAACTTGCCTCGATTATTGTCAAGGAAATCGAGACAAAAACGTCAGGTGGACTCTCCGATTTTGCCAAGTGGTCTGCAATGAATCCGCTTGGGGCTTCCAAGTCTCCTCTTGCATCTCCTCTGATGCTTTTAGGTTCCCTTTTGACACAGGTTATCGTTCAAACCCTTCTTGTTGCTATTGGGAAAAACGAGCTGCTTGGAATCGTTTTGCGAGTAGAAAATTGGCTCGAACAGCCAATCATGAAAAAGCTTCAATTCGGAAACATTGATATGGACTTTCGCCAGATTATCATGTCATTCATCGATACCTCTTTGAAGCGTCATCCAGAGGCAGCAAAACTTAGATCCGAAAAGGACCAGCTAACATGGGGTCTTGTTGTTGGTATCTTTACTATGTTATTCTATCGAGCGCGATCGAGGAGTTTGGATCCCCTTAGCAGCAGCGAGATTACTTCAATTGTGGCCCACTTGATTTCGCTTATCGAGAAAAAGACCTTTGTGTTAGGGGAAAATTTTTGGGGCTTTTTTGAAGGCCTTTCCAATCCTAAGCTTATGCAGAAGATCACCCAATGGTTTGGATCTGCACAAGCGGTGTGTCGAATTGCAGTGTATGCTTTGAACCACTACCAGGGGGCAGAACTTTCGCCTTTAAATAGAAAAGTCCATCTTGCCGTTCCATTTGAAGTTCTTGATGTGATGTTGTCTTTCCCCATTTGTTTGTTGGATTGTTCAAATATTGAGAATCATCTTAAAAAGGCATCAGTACAAATTTCCCTGGTAGAATGGATGATTCGCTTTGTGGGCACTTGTGTCTACTTGGACTCCTTGGTTGGATCTCGAGATTTATTGACCCACGATTTGGCTGCGCGTGACCGATCGGGAATGTCCTGGGCGCTGCTTGTAGACATTCCAATTCTTTTTTGTAATGTATATCAATGGTCCCTATTGTCTAACTGTAAAGATTCGAATGCTCCCATTGACCAGGAGTTGCTGACTCGTATTGTTTCCAGTTTCCCGATCGATGGAATTGCGCTCAAAACCTCCACAACTTCTCTTCCCATCAAAAAGCTTTGGAAGGAGCTTACCACATCAAAAAGCGAGTTGCTTGGCGAGAGAATTCTGGTATCCGCAGGTATGATATCAAAATATCTCGCTGTGAATACAAAAGAGGATTCAGAGGAGAAATGGATCCTAAGCCAACTGATAGAGCTCTTTGGGGCACTAGACGATGATAAAAAGTGGAATTGCGGCATTGGCTGTTGCGAACAGCCACCTCCACCTCCACCTGCACCGCCTGTAAAAGAAAAGCCGAAAGAGGAAAAAAAGCCAGCGGTAAAAGAAGAGAAAAAAAAAAATGTACCTCAAAAGCCTGAGGAGCCGGAGGAATCGGACGAATCGGACGAATCGGAAGATCAAGTACCTGAAAAAGAGGCTCCAAAAATTGATCCTCCGTCTGAAGATCAGTCAGGCACCGTTTCTTCTAGTCCACCGGCACCCATCGTACCGGCACCTATCGCACCGGCACCTGTGGCACCGGTACCTGCACCTCCAATGGTTGATTGCTATGGGAACAAAGTGGAACCCCAACCTCCCTTGACCGGTTTGTCTGCATGGGAATAACTTTATAAATTAGATGTAGAGACCTTGTGTATGAAATTTTGATAGGTTTTTAGTTAAACCCCAATGTGTATGGAGTCGAAGTAGAGGTAGGGTATTGCGTTAAAATTTGAAAAACACACACACACAGTGATGTCTATTGAAAGATACGATTGACAACGGGCTTGGTTTAATAAACTAGCCACCACTTTATTACAATTATGCTACAAAAAATACAAAATTTGTCTATTCTTTGTTTCTTTGCCGGGTCGGCAAGCGATTTTTCTGGCGAACATCCATCATTTCACGGAGAATATCGTTTTTATATTCACGGAGATGCTTGTCAGAGGAGAATCCTTGGTTCGAATCGCCAAAGGAGAGTTTCTGTTTCGCGTCGGCAAAGGAGAGTTCTTGGGTTTTTTCAGAGGGGCCTTTCCCCTCAATGTAGCTTTTTTTGTTGGAAAGAGCCGCCCCTTCATCCTTCAAAAGCATTGCAATTGAGGACCTTACCATGATGGAAGATCTCTGAGAATTTGCAAGCGGAGGCGGCTTTGGGTTTGTTGGAAGGTTTTTTTTTCGCATTGACTTCTTGGAGGTGGCCATTTCAGATATGATGGCATTTTTTTCAGAGTAAAACTCCTTGTTTTTTCTCTGCAAATCTTGCATGGTTGGCCCTTTTTTGTTAGCTACGCCAGACTGCCGGGACTTATACACACCAGGTGGAGACAGCGCATTGCTGTCAACCTGATTGTGCGGAAGAGGCGCAGGGGGCGTAACATCTTTCGCCTTTTTTTTGGAAGAGTAAGAATCGGAGGAAGGGAAGGATACTGATTCGTATCCCTGCTCTTCTTCCGAGCAAAGACTCTGCCCGTCCAAAATTGCCAGAGGCCGCAAATTTGGCGACGGGATGATGTCGGAATGGCACTCGGAATCCGAATTTGGCGGAGTTGGCGTATTCATCCCCGTAAAAGAGGTCGTCGACCCCGGCTGGGTTCCTTGGTGTCGTGTCTGTAGAATAGAGATACGTCTGTTTATTTGCCGCGACTTTTCAGATTCGTAAACAACCTCCAGTCGCATTGGCGCAGATGGGTTGATCATTTCCACGGTCACGCTTTTGCGGTGGTTGTTGGAATTTTGATGCTGAGATGCGCCGGTCCTATTATCAAGATAGCTATTGCCTTGATGATCGCCCGATTTTTCTTTGTCCAGCTTGACGATCTTCCATTCGATATTTCGGCGAAGGTACTTTTTGTTGAGACTCTGAAGATAGTGATTAACCTTTTCCTGGGAGTTAAGCAGCCTTTTGTTACCTGAAACTCGACGAACAGCCTGGATTGTCTCCTCGATTTTTGCAATAACACTGGGAACAGCAAGATTCCGACGATAAAAATCATCGAAAGACCGACAACTTTGAACCAAAACCGAATTTCCTTTGCATTTTTGTGCAGGTCCTGTGCAAGTTCCGAGTTTATGCGGTCGACGATCTTCTTGAACTCTTGTGGCTTCATAACCTCTCGCAGCTCTAGCGGAAACGTGTCATCAAACGTAAGTGTGGTGATGTTGAATTCCATGCGATGCTTGCTAGCAATGTGCATTGTATGTTAAAGACGCAATGCAGGCCAGACGACAATTTCTGCGGCTTTTAAGTATTGGTGGATTGTGTGGCGATTGGTAGGGTTAACATTTTAAGCCCAAGTTTACAAAACGGGGAAAAATTAAATTCATTTTTACTTTACACCGGCAATGCCTCACCAAGCCAATGGCATTTGCTGGCGTCGGCTTGCTGCAGCGAAGTTCGGCTGGCGGCCATTCTCCTGGCTATGCAACGAGGTCCCTTTGTCGTATCACATTATGCGGCCATACAACATGGCCGCGCAGACCAAGCCGTTGGAGGATGACGCTGTGCGGTGGAGGGTGCTTCCGTGGACTCGTCTCTCTCTTGAAGAGGTTCTTCTGGCAGAAGAGCAATTTTTTGCAGAAGATTCTTTTTGTTTTCAAGAGCAACCCATTCAAGAAGATGCTTTACTTGTTCCAGATGATTCAGCTCTCTACGCTGAGGACGCTCTTGATTTATTGCATCCCCTCAATGTTGGTGACGAAGAATACGCCGACTTTTCTGCATGTGAGACACCAAGTGATGTACCGGCCATTCCTAGTTCTGTTGCAGTTTCCACTGCTCAGCCCGAAAAAGACTGCCATATCTCTGACAATGGCTCTTTAATTCACGAATTTATCGATCCATGTCGTGGCAATACCACCGCTGCTTTCTCATCATCGTTTAGCAATCCACATACGCAGGTTGATGGTCTCCCTGTGATTCCGCCTCCAATAAATGCAAAGACCATCGAGAAAGCGCTGTTGACCGCGTCACCGAGAACATCTTCTATTCCAAAGTCTAGGGACTCTCTTCCATTGTTCCATGTTTCTCCAAAGTTGGAGCATATAATCGCACAATTTATTTTTTCTTTCGCTATTAGGACGGAGATTGGATCACTGCCCGAACAAGAAACAGGCATCAACTGGGATGCTGTTGCACATCAATCCCGCAAAGATACATTCGAGGGTCGACAGGCTCTTCATGGCTTGTACGCGGTTGTGGAGTTCCTGGCTTGCAAAGGCTTACCTGGGGATGCAGACCACTTGCTCAACTGGATGTTATCAAAAGATTTATCGAAATCTCCTTCCATGCTGCCTCCTGCACAACTGTCTACTTGTGCTCCGTTTTTTGAGTCTCAATCAACATTTTCAACACCACCATCGTTGATGTCCCCGCATATTTCAGTTCCGCAAGAGCTACTATCGTTTTTAGCGAAAACACATCTTGCCGCTTTCGAGGCGCTTGGAATGCAAGCGCCAGAGCGCAAGATCTTCATCAAGAAACGGAAAGGGCAGCGTGCTACGGCGCACCTGCAGTCTGCCATGCACTGGTTTATGCAAATGGGCGCTGCATTGCCCACATCTAGTGATCACGAAAGTAACGTCACGCTGCTCTCTTTATGGCTCTCTTTTCGGTTTCGGACGCTGCGTACAGGAGAGTCGCCTCAAGCAAAGCCTTTTTTGGCGCTACATGGGTTGCGCCTGCAACTTCCCGTCGTGGTGCGCCTTCTTCGCGAAGATCCTATTTTTAAACATTTTTTCCCCAAGTGCCTTGCTACGATCCTTGCAGGTATTTTTAAACGCAGTTTTTCTTTTTAGGCCCTTCGGATACTTTTTTACTGGAAACGCTGTCTAGTGAGAATGCAGTGCAGGCTGATGCGGTGAGTGTCTCTTTGACCGAAGGCCCCAACGAAGCTCCAAGGGGTGCCGTTTTTGTTGGTCATGGTCTACGCTCACTGGCACATACACACGCATGTGGTGAAGTAGCGCTCACCCAGCTTCAGGAGTCCATCGAACAAGACTGCACTTCAGCGGCACGAGAGCGGTTTTTGCAAGTCCAGAAGTCGGGATTTTTGGAGCGGCGTAATCCTCTTGCGCCAACATTGGTACGGCTTGTCGAGAAATGGCGAGTGCTACTTTCGGAAAGACTACGCCTTATTTATGAGATGTCGGATGATGTTAGAAATGACTCCTCCATCTTACAGGCACAGCCTCTTTTTACCACTCTTATTGCCAATTTGGGCGTTGAAGCGATCTCTGGTACCATCCTTTCGCTATTGCTGATGCCTGGTCATGAAGGCACTGGGTACAAAGGGGGAGGTCGGCGTGTTCCATGGTGGCTGCCATCGGGGCGTGCTTTCATTTTTGGCCGACTTTCTCTGGAGCTTGGATCTAGACTTCTAGGCAGTTCACCTACCAACTTGATGGAGTGGCCGGCAGCACAACGCGTCCAAGTGGGCTCCAGGCTACTGACAGAGGCGCTGCCGCTACTCAGAATGGACGATGGCACCCCTGCGTTTTTCCACTCTGTGCGTCGATTTCGCGTTAATTCCCTTCTTGGCATGCTTACAATTAACCCGCTGTTATCACAGCATTTTGGGATCCCCATTAGAGTAGCTTCCAATGCTAAAGATGCTGATCGCTCTGAATCTGCTAAACTGGGAGGTGAGACCGATGGGAGCACCCAATGGGCTGGGCCCACCCAACCAAGCACATATCTTACCAGCCCTCTGGCGATGGATATTTCAATGAGCTTGCCGATGGTAGTACCACCGCGGCCATGGAGTAGCTGGAGAGCGGGGGGATATTTGCTGCGCCGGATACCTTGCTTTAGGATACGGGATGATCCATCACAGATGGCGCAAGTGATGATGGCCGATGCGCGTGGAAAACTCGCTCCCCTTCTTGAGGGCCTCACATTTCTTGGACAAACACCCTGGCGCATCAATGTTCGCGTCCTCGCTGTCGTGCGGGCAGCATGGCAGGCGTCTTCTCAAACTAAGGCCCCAGAGACTATCTCCACTCTGGCTTCGCATGCAGAAGCACTGCTTGGCCTTGATGCTGGGATGCGACCAGACGACCGTCATTCACTATGGTGCGATCTAAACTATCGTCTTATGGTGGCCGACGCGATCTCGTCATATACCGAGTTTTTCTTGCCACATAATGTGGATTTCCGCGGTCGCGCATACCCAATCCCAGCACTACTTTCTCATATGGGCTCTGATCTCTGTCGCGGCTTGGTACTCTTTGGTGCACAAAAGGCTGCTCCTCTTGGTGCTCGCGGCCTTCATTGGCTGCTTATTCATCTAGCAAATATGTATGGCTACGACAAGGCCTCGTTTGAAGAGAGACTTTCGTGGGCCCAAACACACAGAGCTCAAATCGAGTCATCCGCTGCCGATCCTATCAACGAGCAGTGGTGGATGGCTGCAGAGCATCCATGGCAGACTCTAGCTGCTTGCATCGAGGTTTCCGGTGCTTGGGCACATCCGCAAGGCCCAGAGGCCTTTGTTACCTCCATCCCTGTGCAGCAAGATGGCTCTTGTAACGGACTACAGCATTATGCTGCTCTTGGACGAGATCCTCTTGGCGCGCTGCATGTAAATCTTGTGCCCGGATCTCGGCCTGCAGACATTTACTCTGCAGTTGCGACTGCCGTTAGTCAGCGCATTTTTAATGATGCAAAGAGCGATTCGGTGGAAAAGCTCCATCTTGATATCCAGCAGCACGCCCATAATGCTACTAATGAAGCCTCTGACCGAGATATAGAAGCTACCGCCATGCCACTTCCAGGCGGTGTGCCGGCGGCGACGAACACAGGTTCCTCCACAGCTATGTTATCCCGCGCTGAAATTGCGCGATGGATTCTATCACCAGAATCTGGCTTACCTTCTGCCATTACACGGAAGATTGTCAAGCAAAGCGTGATGACATCAGTGTATGGTGTCACTCTTTATGGTGCTACGCAACAGATATACAAGCGGCTCGTTGAGGTCGCTGCTCCTCGAACATCGGCTGCGGCTGCAGATTCTAGCGGCGCTCAAGTGCAGGGGAACAATCGGCATATGCGGCAAGCGGCCCGCTACATTGCTTCACTTGTGTTTTCATCACTTGGAAGCATGTTCGACCGTTCACGCCGCATCCAGGCATGGCTGACAGAGGTGGTCACTCTGGTGACGGCCAGTGTCCCCAGAGAATGGGTTGCGCGCTACTTTGGGGTCGACACGACACAGGAACTGACAACACTGCCGCCGCGGTCTTTTAACGGGCCCGTTGAAGACATTTTGGCTGGAAACAAGCGTCCGTTTGCGCCATCCGGCCTGTTGCGTCAGTTTTTAAACACTAAAGAAGGGGATGCTGTTTATCCCAGGACACTGATGGCATGGACCTCGCCCCTTGGTTTTCCCGTTGTTCAGCCATACCGCGAAGCAGAGAAAGTTGTAGTGCCAACACCCTTGCAGATGGTTACCCTCGATGTGATTCCAGATCACGAAACTCCTGTTGCCGTTAGACAGCAGATCGCAGCATTTGCGCCCAACTATATTCACTCGCTCGATGCATCGCACATGTTTATGACAGCACGGCGTATAGAGGCGCACGGGATTGTTTTTGCAGCCGTGCACGACTCGTTCTGGACTCATCCAAAAGATACAGACTTGCTTCATCAAGAGCTGCGTGCAGCTTTTATTGAGTTGCATTCGCGTCCGCTTCTGCACGAATTGCGCTCTGAGCTCATCGAGCGGTTCGGCAACAACTTGATACCCCTTCAAAAGAGGAAAGTAACCCTGCAGAAGGAAGAGGCCACGGGCAAGAGCAAGGATAAATCAGCTTCCAAAACAGGAAAGAGAAAGACAGAGACTGGCCCGTGCTGGGCACCCGTAGACATACCCCAGGTACCGGAACAAGGCTCCTTTGTGCTTGAAGATGTTGTGCATTCACCTTATTTTTTTAACTAGATCCTATTTATTATAAAAAACGGAAGCTAATATCGATCCAGCAGTTTATTAATCGTTAGGATCGCACTTTTTGGGGTAGCGAGCTGCTCGCGTAGTGTATTTTTCCTTGGTGTGGCAGGTGCTTGTGGCAACCATTCAATCTGCTACAAGGATAGCCTCAATTTAAAAGCACAATGTACCAGTACACCGTTATCAACAAGTCTTTTGGTAGCAGCACATTGAGCAAAAGCTCCGATCCATATTCATTTGGCCTTTATGAACACGGGTTATGGGTTTATTTTGGTGCAGATACCGGCAAAGTTCGGCCGCTTCATTGTAACATTGCTAGCGTTGGACACATTGACACAAACTGCATCTTTTCTTTTAACCCCGATATTTAATAGCCTGTGCAATTTTTTATATTGAAATTTAAAATTTCAGTCTAAATTTTAAAATTGTCGGTGCTATAAATACTCATTGATATTGCAATGTAATTGGTGGCGGCAATTGAGTAGTCCTTATTTAAAATCAGTGATATCTAATTCCACTTGATACTTGATGAAAATACACATGGACCACATCCTTGCGCCAGACATCGCATACATCAATGCTGTGCGGATTTTTTTGCTATGGGCCTTTATCAAGATCTACTATAGGCGAAGGGTATTGAAAATATCAAAGCGAGTGATAGCAATAGGTACGATTAGAGAGACAAGATTAATGACTTAGCAATTCTTTATAGCGTCATGGATTATCGAAAGAAAGAGGCATATCGACAACTTTCGCTCTTCAATAAGATAAAGTTCTGGCTGCTACTCAAGAAAATCAATGGCTACTTTGGAAAAACAGAAAAGATGTTTCTAAGCTCGTACATCTTAATAGCAAACAGGCTCATTACCGAGAACAAAAGAAGCCAATTTGATGAGAAAGAAGGCCTGTTCATCTCTCCAAAGATCACCAATGTCCTTTGCGAATTTTTTCCGGCCATCTTCAAGTTCGATGTTTGCCAGTTCGAAAGCGATCCAAAATCAATGACCAAATTCAGGAAAGCAATTCTAGAAAAAATAAGCTACCAAATTGATCTCTTGCCAGGTAATATGAATATGTCATTGTTTATGATTTAGAACCTGGAATGGCCAAATTAATGCTTGTGCTGAAAACCGAAATCGAAGAGCAGATTGAAATTAGCATTTAAAAAATAATTTTCAAAGGATAACAATCGTATTTTTATAAATTAATTTTTTAATTCTCTTCACAATGGCTACCATAAAGTGTAGGTATTTTATCGCTGGTAGCTGCAAGTTTGGGGATCAATGTCGGTTTTTACACGCTTCAGATAACCAGCGCACGGTGCAAACCAACGAGATGGTCGAGGATATAGCAGAAGGCCCCGTTTGGCCATTTTCCAGCTACAAGGATTATTCTAGCGGGAACCGATATTTCGACGACCTTTCTCCAGAAGAAGTTATCCTGGAAGGTCGAAAATCCGGCTCTAATTATCAGGGTTTTGTATGTGAGCAATTTTTTACTTCCATGCTAGGTTAGCACCGTCACTTCCCACGCAGCTAAGGCTCTTGAAGCAAGAAGGAATATTGTTTCCTCGATACAAAGAGCCTCAGGCTCCCCGGCGTTTCCTGTCACTGGCGCGCCTTTACTTTCCGCCAATTTGTTTACGCCTATTTCGAAGAGTAACCCATTCAGTAAAAGTTCGTCGTCAAGTTCTACTGGCTTTGTGATGGGAATGACAGCACCTGAGAATAACACCATCTCTTTCGGTGCGACTCGCGCAGAATCCAATTCAACTCCATTTAAAATTGAACCGGGAAATTCTGTTCACTCTCAAAACATGAACCACTTGTGTTTTAGTAAAAATCCTGGGGAAACCATTTCGGCATCAAAAGAAGAGTATTTTGAAGGAAGGATCTTTGCTCTTTTGGGAAAAGTCCCTTCAGAAATCGTTGAAAGAGATTGTTCAAAGTACGATTCTAGCCCATGGATTTTGGGCCATCTTCCCGAGCTGCCCCCGCCGATTTAGCTTCACAATCTAGCTACTACATATGCTTTGAATATGGCAACCAAGCCAGGATCTATTCGTTCGCGTTCTTGGCCCCTTCTCCTTGGATGGGTCTGTTTTCTCACTCAACGAGTCAGAAAATTCCATATTTCATTGAAAAATTGATTCACTTTTCCGTTTTCGGCTGCCACAATTAGTAGTATATTCACCCAAAGATACATTTGAATTCCAAAGATTACCAATTTGCACAGTAAATAGGCCACCAAAGAAGTTTGCTCATCCACGTTGGAAAATAAATTGTTGAAAATATCAGTTGCTTTTAAGATTGCATTGTGGCTCAAAGACAACTGGTGTTTTCTACTTGTGGTGCAGTCAAAGACCTCAATGTGCAGTAATGGAATCCCAAAGTGCGGATTTGTTATCATATACCTTTTGTTATCAACGTACTCGTCAAGTTTCATTGACGTTGGATTATATTGATACACCGAATTTACCCTGACGTCTCTTTCCTCAAGTAGTTTTAACAGAAGAGATGCATATTTACTAGCCCAGGAATTGAAACGAATCCCCTCGATAACGGTTCGCTGCATTGTTTGAATTTGTGAGCTACCGGCTCCTCCTAAGACTTGTAAAGCAGTTTGTTCAACTTCGATCTTAAAGAAAAGCATTGAATTGACACCTTGAGAAAATATCACCTTTACATGCGGACTATCCTGCGCGTTTGAAGCGTGCGGCAGCGACGGGAAATAGTATAGCTGTTTCCATTCCATGTTTTGCATAACGGCTTTCTGGTCAAATACACAATCATGTTCAAAAACTAAAATTGGCAATTTGGTAGAATCTGCAGCACACTTGGCAGATAAAAAAATAAGGATTCCCGGAAAACTTAATAGGAAGCGATAGCTTATCATAAAGTAAAAGGCGATACCTTTTGTGGCAATTTTGTCCAAATAATTTATTTTAACAAATCAAAATTCGATAAAAATCTAAAAATTGGGCGTCTACGAGAATCGAACTCGTGACCTCTCGCACCCGAAGCGAGAATTCTACCACTGAACTAAGACGCCACCCGAAAATTGTCAAAATTAAATATTATATTCTATATTGAGTACCAAACATCCTGATTGGTTGCATATCCTTTTTTTTTCCACCAACCTTTGGTTATTCCCTAAATTTAACATGATGTAAACACTTGAGCTTATTATTGCAATTCTTGTACTATGAATAGTTCTGCATCACCTTATAGTGATATGAAATGTAGAATATGTTATCTCAGCACCCATGCATCGTGCAGTTCCTCTCCTTTACAGAAAGAGCCCACTTCAAAAAGATCAATTGCATGCTTTTTCCTTGGGATCATTGCTAGGCTATTTAGGTCATTTTCTTTGGCAGTTTTAAAAATATCTGTTATTTTAAAAGGTTCTCCTGTTATCCCTCTCGACGAAAGCTTCGAAATCGATGAAAATATTGAGGTCCAGCCGGGAAATGAGCTGATTTCGCCGTGTTCCTGCATAGGGTCGGTTAAATGGGTGCATCGAGCCTGTATTAATCAATGGCGATATTCTCAGTTTTCAAATTTGATAACAAAATTCAGTCAATCGTTAATATTTGATTCAAGCATGCTTAGAAATAGGAATTCCCTCCCTATGGAAGAGGAGGAGGCTGTAAAATCGTGTCTGCAATGGGTAGGATGGGCAGAGTGTCTTCGACTTAAACGAGTAGTTTTGGAGAGCTTTTCAAAATTTATCCCAGATGTCGAGTATTCATCATTGAAGGCATCAGCGGCTAACTGGTTTGCATTGTCTCCGGATAGCAATATCCCTTCCATTGCTTATTTTAGCTCGGATTCGATTGTTCTGCTTAGAGATGCAATTCTTTCTATTTTTGGATTGGATAATCTAACGGAGCCGCTTATCGATGTGGATGCTGTTCTGAGATATTTCCTGCTAAGTACGGATTCTATGGATTCATCGACTCCATACCAATCTCATATTTCTGGACACTCCAGAAACCCTGTAAAAAGGCATCCATTTTTGAATTGTGACCTTTGCAGAGCCCCGTATACCTTTGCACCAACGGTATGTTCTGCTACGACAACCCCTGAAGCACCAAGCTGCAGTGTGCCTTCCTGTTCAAAAAAGACAAAAAGGTCCACGCGATGGTCGTTTTTTAACTATCTCGGGTTCTTCCTCTCGGTTATTTTTGTATTTTCTATGATATCCACACTCTCCAAGGTTGCGTCTCATTTTCTTCCAAATGCCTCGCATCATCAAACCATGCACTTTGTGCATGTAAAAACCATTACTTATGAACACTATTTGAAAGACATATTTTGTTGCATCGAAGAACTGGTATCTCTTTTTCTTAGCGAGTTTACCTTGGATTCCAGCATTTCCTATGGAAATTTTTATTATGGGGCGAATTTATCGACCTATATTTCCAACGAGTCTCCATCTCCAAAGTTCCACAAAATCGAACCTTCAAATATTTCCGCAAATAGCCTTTTCGCACCCATTATTTGCTCGAAAAATAATTCCAATCACAATGAGAGATATTTTTTCGGTGAAGACCTGTTCAGCGGTGATAAATATTGTGACGAAACTTACAGCGATACTTACGGAGGCGATCAGGATGATTTTTTCATCCAATCTGTTCTCCAGCTGATTGTGCTCTTATTCCGAGGCTTGATGCTTGTCGTTTGTGGTCCGCCGCTTGTTGCGTTTCTTTTGTGTAGAATCTTGACGGTTGTTTTACCCTTTGCCTCCATGGCTCTTTTATTATCTCTCCAAGGCCTTTCCTTGCTTTCGCTGTTTTTCATCGCGAAGGACTACCAGCTGTCCTCAGTCGTTCTTGCCAACATGTTGATCTCAATTTCTTTCCCGACATCCAATATTTTCGTCATCGTGGTTGGTCTTGTTACTAGCATTGTTGGCTTGACCAACTTGCTCTATCTCCTGATATTGATTTCAGACTCCTTTGGAGAGGTAGTAGTTACAAGTCACAAAAAAAACGAAACTGATAAGCGGGACAATTACTTGGCCAATCGATTTTATTGGAATATTCAAACGCAATTTTCCGGTTCGAAAGAAAATCCTCCATGCGAGCCCATTAAATCTGCAACGGGCGTGGCCCTTTCATTGTAGTATTGTTCCAGTTTCCCTTGAAGAACGCTTATTAGCGGATGCGGGTGGCTTTTTACTGCCGAAAAGAGGACGTTCGCTGTTAATTCATCGTAAAGCCCAATGACAGGCATAATTCTTCGTGTAGAGCCTTCGGTAAGGACAATAAAGTTCATGGATTACTTGTGATGAAAGCTGCCGTGCAATTTGAAATCAAATTCGAAAGGGTGCAGCCGGAATGATCAACCGGCATTCCAAGAGATGCACAAATTTCCTCAATTGCCAGCTGTGTAGTTCCTGTCAAAACACTTTCTCTTGGCGCTGCGAGGATTGTCGAATCCCTTGTGATTGCATAAAAGTTGCTAGAAAGCCCCTCCAATAAAAGCACATCATCATCCTAACGACAAGGAAACACAAACAGATATACTTTTTTTTTCGTAAGAATGGCCTCCGTAACCCTTGGAGTCAATTGCTTTAACTCGTTCTCTCTCTTCCTAGCAGGTGAAAATGCAGCTTGTCTACTGCATCCAGTTACAGGCTTTGATTTTTGGATCTTGGCGAGATAATTCAGCACATGATGCCAGCTTTACAAATGTCCCCTGCGCCGAAAAAGTGTCCTTTTCGAGGAGATAGCATTTTATTGAACAGGAATTACCGCCTCCAAGCGAAATAACTATCTTTAAATCGTGTCCCTTCAGCCCCGGCTCTTCCAAGCAGTGCGAAACAAGTGCCGACAGAAGGGATTCATTCCATGCAATTTTTTCTGAAAATGACGACACCGCGGTGGATGATAAGGACGACGATGAATAGACTAAAATATCACAGAGGATAAAAACTTAATCTTGCACAGTGTTCCTTTCACATTGGGATTTTCTCTCCATTCTTTATGGTGTGCAGCGTGGTGTAGACACCATCCTAAAAAAAGAAAAAATCCAAACTTCATTGTCGGGGTCTATATTTGGGGCGAGTAAAACCTTTTTACCGAAAATGGAATATCTGAATTGGAGCAGCAACATTTAAAAGGTAAAGTGGGTGCCTTTTCTTCTGGATTGCAGTAAAAATTAACTCGGACCAATTGGGGATCGGTCTCACTTTTAACTATTTTCGTTTATTGTGGATCCGGATCTTGTTTAACGTGTGGATCAAAGTGATACCGCCAATTAATGGTATCAACTTGACCACCCATAGTTTAAACTCTCCATTAAGAAAAGGGCACATGGAATCTCTTCAGATCAAATTGAGGACCCCTTATGCACTCGAGATGATTTTTGACAGCGATGGATATTTGGACCCGATTCCCTTGACCAACTGTAAATAAAAATGTTCCCTTCCCAACGCAAGCACCAAAAAACCTATAATTTCGTCTAAAAACACAGAAGAAGCAATAAATCCTTCTCGGCACACCTTGAGCCAATAATGACAGCTATGTTTTCTCAAAAAAGAATGGAAAATCTCCACGAAAATTAAGCGGGGAGGTACACGAAACTTTCACCGCTTGAAGGAAGGGCTCAATAAGCTACGAAGCGACAATTAGATTCAAAGCTTCGATGGCAAGGTTATCTGCAGGCATTAAAATAAACAATGCATCGAGCGAGTAACACTCGACGAGCAGATAGAAAATCTAGCGCAAAGACTCGCGAATAAATCCAACAAATAAAGAGGCCAATGTTCCCCCATTAGTGGATTCGGTGCAAAGCGGACGAGGACGGCCACAAGAAAGAGTTGCACCAAATCTTCTGATCGTTAGAGACTTCATCTGCAAGCTTGAAATGCGAGGCTTTAGGCCAAAATGTTTTATTGGACAGGGTATTTAAATCCGGACATCTCTTTTGAGTCCTTGGATGATAGAAACGAGATCATTGTGGATTTTTTGTATCCGCCAGATGTGATTTGATTATTACGTCACTTAATTCTAGTTGGTCGGAACTGGCCATCTTCCTCTTCATGTGTGGATGGAAATTCCTTCGGCCGTTGCTGATATTCAATGAACTGCCTTCCCAATTTGCCAGAAAGTTTCTGCACTTTATCAGCCGTATTCAGCTTCAAGAAATGAGAACGGTCTTTGTAAACAAAAAAATATCGATTGCCCGAATCTTTGCAAAAACCGATTGAAGAATGGTTCCGCCCTATAAAATTTGGCGCGTCCAGAGAATATTCTTTACCTCAAATAAGGTTCAAAGTACGACTTTGCTATTCAAATCGTGAATCTCCAAATTCCTGGCCGAGCATCTGCTCAAAGTCAGCATCTATTTTATCAGAAAATGTCTCGAGGTCATGAGGGTAAATTCTGCATGCCTTCTCAGTGTTTTCATCCGGTATATTTATTAAGGAGCTCGGTGCGATAAACATACACAATCCGATACTGGAAATGGATATCTTTTCATAAAAGGCTTCTTCCAAATGGTGCGAAGACTAGTTTTAGTTATCAGGCACCATCCTGATCTCAATGCTCCGGCTGATGATCTTTAAGCGGTAATGACAATAGTTGGCATCTGATGCCCCCTCCCATGAAGCGTCGTAGAATTCGAATTTCAAATGAAAATTTTATATATTCCAAGTGCAGTCCTCTGGTAATAGAAAGCATTCCTTGCCCCCAGGCAACGCCTTTATCCCAAGACCCCTTGAAGCAAACCCCCTCCAAAGGGAACATCTGAACAGTTGTTTGTACCTTAGCTTTTCAGCTGCCAGAATTGCATCTCGGGCATCCACAAATGTTGGCCAACAAGGCTGTAGCTTCATTCCTTCGATCAGCAATCCGAGCATTATGTCATTTGGCCCCTTAGGCTGAGATTTCTTCCCATCATCCCAAAATGGATTGTGGGCAGTAAACTGACAATCTTCGATGAGAGACCAATAGACGTCATATAGGGTTTGAGCCCATACTTCCCCTATGGCATGAATGCCCCGCATCTCTTTTCGGATTGAAGAGTAGGTTATCGAGTCTATGAAAGAGCAGGACAACTTACTATTCATGCCGTATGGATGTGTCCTTATGCCTTTGATGTTGGAGGATGTTTCTCCGTTTGAATATTCTCCGATTCCGAATGAAGCATCCCTAGGTGTGCTGCCATTTATTCGAAGCAAGATGGAAAAAAAATCTCCCCAACCTTAAACAATAAGCCTTGACCCCAAATTTACCTTCTCCCATACCCCCTGCTTCTCCAAACGATAAACAGTCTGCATTAGAGGGGCCACCTAAATCAATATGACTTTGGCCCACCTGTGAGTCTGGACGTGAGGCCATGCACATATTCATGAACTATAATGCAGCTTTCCAGGCCGCCATCGCGTGCTGGTCTATTTTTGGACCATAGAAACAATCTCATGCGCCCATGTTGGCCGTCAGGCGGCGACATAAAACTGGCATTGCTATCCTAGAAAAAGATCAAGGCGTCAGCATACCCCAGAACCATCTTGGACGTCCGCAATGATGGCGTCAAATCCCTTTCCGCCGCGTAAAAAGTTTTTGTTTTGAAAGTTTCCAGCAGGCTCGTCAAATCCATACGTGTATAGTATGTCATGGAGGAGATTGATCCAATAAAATACATTTGAAATCGAAGAGTTTACATACGAATATGGGTCGCTCCAATCAGAAATGGGATAGATAAAGGCGGATTCCGGTGAAACTGGCCGTTTATTGGAAACCCAATAATCGCTACCAAAATGATTTTCTTGGGCAAAAACATTATTTCCGATGGTCGAGTTTGTCGAATGGCCCTTCTTATCGATGGAATTCCATCCCATTGGAGATKCCGTTCTTGAAAAATGGGCCTGAACATGTGGTAGGCGGCCCTTCAGAGGGACTATCAATTCCAAGTGGGTAAACCAAATATTTTGAGTTACTTTGCTCTGGCGAAAAGTGCGAAAGGCCGGAATCGGAAGAAAAAGTGAACGATTTTAACCAGTTGTTGAGGGAGAGGATCAGAGGCTTACCAGAACCCTTTTGAATAGTCACAATTCCAACAATGACATCGAGGCTATCGCCAATGGTAATTTCGAATTTCCACGTAGGCAAAAGGGCATCCTGGGATGCATGGTAAAACCAAGATGCAGTGGCTCTTATTGGAAATTTATAAAAGGAATGATTTCCAAGGCCAAGCGTATATTCCACAGAGGAGAGCTGAATATGCTGCAATTCATCGATGTCAATCAGAGGAAACTTTAAAAATGAAACCAGCTTTCCAAGGCATTTTGAGACAGAAATATTGAAAGAATCAGCCTTAGATGTGAAGCAATAAATGCTCGAACTATATGCAACGATGCTTACATTTAAAGCCATCGAAGGAAGCCGTTGCGGTGCCGAGAAATGAGCACTAAACAAAGCATTTAAAACAGGTTTTCCCAAATGAAGTTGGCGAAGATATACATGAGAAAGCGAATCACCCTCCGACTTGTATGAATCTGTCACTTCAAAGCTTATTGTGGCATCTATAACACGGGTAGTGTTATAGCACCTGGAGCAAATGGCTTTTGCGGCGTTGATAGCCATATCTTCGATTGAAAAATCGGCCGAAACATCGGCAAACTGATGTAGGGGCACACAATTATCAGATTTCTTGTTTTCTTGAGAAAAAGTCCAAAATAACCGCGCATGCGGATGGTAATAATGGCTAATGCCAATGGAGACCGGAAATAGCGCATGACAAAGAGACGAGCAAAGTTCGGCCGCCAACAAGAATGTCAAGAGCAAATGCATAAATGAACAAAGAGTACGGCCTGGATTTGACAGAGATCAATCCAAGATGGGAATTTTTGATGAGCGGCATTGATCGATCAGTCTTGGAAATTTTCGGTCAACCATACAATGTGACCCTCTTTCTAATTGTTTAAAATCGGGGTTGTTAAAATTTCAACATCCAAAGTTCAACGTTCAACATTCAAAGTTCAACATTCAACATTCAAAGTTCAACATTCAACATTCAAAGTTCAACATTCAAAGTTCAACATTCAAAGTTCAAAGTTCATCTATTGGCATTTAAATTATTCAAGTTTGCAATAAAATTTCAAAGAATTTTTGCATTTTACAACAGAATGAAGATAGGCTCGTCATCATATTTCGTTTTGGCAACTCTTATCATCTTTGCTCTTCTTTTCAATCCCACAACTGCCGGTAGCGATTCATTGGATGAAGACTTTCTCATTGATTCCTTTTTCCCTACATTTTCCAGGGAGGATCTCCATCATTATGCAAATGCATCGACTATAGAGATGCTTGATAGACATGGACTCAACATCTTGGTCGAAAATTTTGCCTCCATCTTTCACCTATTTGACAAGACGGCATCTTTGTCCCATCATCTTTCTGACGAAGATAACTTTAACATTTTAAACGATATTCTCGATAGCGTGAAGAGATCATTTATCATGACCGTCAACGAGATTCTAAATTCACGAAATGCTCCCGTAGGCGTGATAACGCCATCTTCAATGTCCAATTTTCTTACTAGACAAGAGGTTCACTTTAAGGAGCTCTTACAAAAGAAGACTCCACAAAATATTGATCCCCAACTGTGGGAAGCATTTTTTACTCGACTTCCGTTGGCCTTTGATTCGGTAAAGCAACTTTATAGAATGGCATTTGAAAACCTTCCGACCCCGCTGCAATTTTCATGGACACAACTTCAGTTTATTTCTCCATTTCTGGAGTTTATCCCATCCACCAATTTGCTAAGCCATTCTCAATTCGAGTGGTTTTTACTGATGCCTGCAAATACAAAGAAGCTTCTACACGACTTTATAGCATTGGTCTTTTCAATGGAGCGTTCACACTTGACAAAGGCGGTTTTTGACCTTATAAAAATGTATGATTGGCAAAAACTCATGAAGCCCGACCATGCCGAACTTTAATAAAATTTTCTTATATCACTCACTGGCCATTTATTTATCAACCAATTGATCAAGGATCAAAATCTTGACACATCCCCGTGTGAAGATCATAATGTTTGATTTGTAAATTCTGCAGCAATGTAATCGTTATAATGCGAGAGGCCCATTGACCTATCAAATCGGTTCTGGGTGGCTTCAATGCAATCTGCGCCGCGCCGCCGCACCCCCACTCAACACTGGTCCAATCTGACCTCAAGGTGCATTATGATTTGAAACGTTCAACTTGAATGCCTATTTAAATTTAAAATGTTTTAAAATCTGCCCAATAGCGATTGCAATTTGCAAAACAATTCTTCATCACCAACCTCCCGCAGAATTTATACTTTGCTTGCGCTTTGCCATATTACATTGAATCAATGAAAAAGTTGATATTTACCCTTTTTGCGCTTTTCGCCTTGGTATGTTCGCTAAAGTCCGAGGTGGATTTTAAAATCGCCTTCGATGAGACTAGTGATTCTCCTGCTGCCCATCAAGAGCCAATCCTATCAACCAAATATGCACCGTTGGAAGCCATCAATATCAGTGACGAAAACTTTGAGAAAACCTTTCTCGGCGCTAGAGATGAATATTTAGTTGTTGTGTAAGAAAATCCCCATGTTTATCAATTGTAGCTCTACGGAACGGTGCTCTGCATGCCAAAGATTTTCACCCGAGCTCAAGGCATTTATAAAAGCAGGAACTTCATCAGTAAAAGTGGCAAAGATAGATATTTCTGAAGCTCCAGCAACTACCGCTCGTCTTTTAGTATTCAGAATCCCTACAATATTCCAGTACCATTATTTTTCACTTATCATCCTTATAGTTATGTCAATGGATCCTTCTATGTTCTTGATTCTCATTTTAATGAGATGAATCTTACGCGCCACTTTAAAAACAATGAATGGAAAACGATGGAACCACGTCCAGAGTATCTAGCTCCATTCTCGCCTGCTGGAAAGGCTATTTCCATGCTTGCAACTAGCGCCAATAAGGCCATTTCGCTAATCGAAGATATGAAGAAAGAATATTCATCGACCACCGTTTATGGCATATTGCTCGCAATTCCCATTATTCTTCTGTTCATGATTCTTCTTCTCACTAAAAAGACCAAAAATGCCCCAACATCATCCACTTCGGTTCCCAGTCGAAATAAATTTGCCAACAGCACCTCCTCGCCAGAACCTACACTCAAAAAGAATCAATGATGAAGCGGAAAAATAAAATTTTATAAATTCAATTTAAACTTTGTCAAATTTAAGAATCTGAGTAGACTCTGTTCATCGAACCAGAATTTTTTCATCCATCCTATTTCATTGCCGAACATGAGTGATCACCACAACATGCCTCACTTCAAGCTCGTTCTTATTGGAGACGGATCCACAGGAAAGACTACCTTTGTTAAACGCCATATTTCTGGTGAATTTGATAAAGTGTACGTGGCCACTGTGGGCGTCGAAGTCCATCCACTGGTGTTCCATACCAATTGCGGCCCGATTTGTTTTGACACATGGGACACTGCCGGACAGGAAAAGTTTGGGGGTCTCCGCGACGGATACTATATCCAAGGTCAATGTGGCATCATTATGTTTGACGTTACCTCGCGAATCACTTACAAGAATGTTCCGAACTGGCATCGCGATTTGATACGTGTCTGCGAAAACATCCCGATTGTTTTGTGTGGAAATAAGGTCGACATCAAGGACAGAAAAGTGAAGCCCAAGTCCATCACTTTTCATAGAAAGAAAAACCTTCAGTATTATGACATTAGTGCCAAGTCTAACTATAACTTTGAAAAGCCCTTTGTGTGGCTGGCCCGCAAGCTTACTGGAAATCCGCAGCTTGAGCTAGTGCAGGCACCTGCTCTCCTTCCTGCAGAACAAACTGTAGATCTAGATTTGATGAAACAATATCAACAAGATTTGGAAATCGCCAAGACCATGCCTATTCCAGATGATGATGAGTTCTAATAAATCATAATATATAACGCGTTAACTTGACCCGATCAAATGCAACTTTTCCTTGATGTCTGTTTAAGGTTTTGATTTTATACGCCGGTGGTGGTTAATTCTCAGATGCAGCGCAACCGCTGTTAACCCCCGATGGGAGCCAAGAAATTAAAGATAAATTGTTAATTTTATTGCGAGCGTATGCGTTCGTGAAGGGGACGGGAATCTAGTTCAAGATCTGTGAATGAAATTTTTGTTTTTGAAGAAACTGAGATGCGAATGTTGGGAGTTGGGCCGTTTAAAGAGGACGATTCAGAATATTGGCTGCTTTCAGCGTCAGAATGGTCATTGGGACTCAATACAAGGGGAGCTGTTTGAGGATACTCTGGCTGTACATTAGGGTCTGAAAATCTGCTAGTGGTGTTGTGGCTCCGTTCGCTGTTAACAGAATGACTTTGATCCGCAGTACTTGAGCCGCTAAAATAGGTCAAAATCGAGATGGGGCGGTTCCATTTAAGCCTGCGTTTCGATTTTGTTTTGCGTTTCAAAATGTGACATTCTAACAATTTATCAACCATAGAGAGAGGCATAAAGCTCAACAGCCGTTTGAAGAAAACTTTTTTGTGCCATTTTGCAGACGAATAAGATGACAACGCAGTATCCTCGATATACTTAAAGTAGGGAAGCAACGAATTGTCGATCTCTACGACCTGCGAAGATGGCGAGTGGGGAAATTTGGGCAAAATTCTAGGCTCCAGTGCGCGGGATGCAATCAAGTGCAAACGGGTAAGAAACTCTTCATCTGATAACCCTTCGAAGATGAGAACAAGCGGACATTCCGGTGTGATGTGGAGAGGAGATAGCAATACCAAAAACAAGCTATCGATTGGATCGTCATCAGAAATAGAACCCAGCCAATGCCGCGGGTCGTGAGCAGACACTTTCTGACAATTATTCGGATTGACCAGATATCTATGCCTTTTTAATAGGCAAGATCTAATGTCAGATTGAGAGAATATGAAGCCGCCAATATCATATGCGCACCGGATAGACGAAGATGCCAATATGAACTGTTGATGTAAAAGAAGAGTAAAAAAGATATTCACCCAAAAGGAGATCTTTTCTTTAGAATTCCACATGAATTGGGAAATCATTCCACTTGGGTTGTAGAATGAAATAAGATCAATATGCCTCAAAAGAGAAAGGCTCTTGAAAAACTTTTCTTTTGCCTTTTGCCTCTCAGAAGCATCTTTGTCAATTATATTGTCCGCAGAATCAGGAGCTGATGTGGTTGAATCCGAAAAATTCTTATCAGCGTATATATGCATAGAATCGCTATTAGCGCTGGTGCCATTATCAGCATCCGCATCGTCACTGTGATCGCTGTCGGGAATGTTTAGCTCGGTGAAAATTTTCGGCAATTGAGATTGGCCGCCCAGCATCAGAATTAGAGAATTCAAAAGCTCTGCAGAAAGAAGAACAGGATTTAAGCTCCTTTTATTGGGGGGTGTGAAATAGGGGTTTTTAGGCCTATTAATGACAACAGCCATTCGAAAAGGTTTTCCAAGTATATAGGGAGGAAAGGAACATACGCCAGATTCATCATCTTTCTTTTCATCTTCACTTGGATATGGCCTAAAAAGATCACAAATGGGTGATTTTGAAAGGCGTTTTTCGCTATTACTGAAACCATCCCGATGGAATTTCCCACCCAAGCTGGTGAATCCTGACATCCATGCATCTGCACAGGATGATTTTTTAAAGCCAATGACCAACTGACAGGTAGTACCATTTGAATTAATACCAGAATTAAGTGTTGATGAGGAGATATCCAACTTGCAAGAATAAAGAACCTGAAAAATTCCACCAGGAAATATTTGATCGAGCTCCGAATGTATGATTTTGTAAGCTGAAATTGTTGTTCCACCAAGGGGTATTGCCAATTCAATTGAAAATCTACCTGCCTCTTGAGCAGCAGAAAGGAATAGAAATGGAATTGATTCTGCAAAGCTAAAAAACCATTCTCTCCAAAGCCGGGTTGTAGTGGCTAAGGAAATGACCCCTGCAATGGGAAGAGATCGGGGGAATGAAGAACCGCGTTCGTGGGATGCCTTCAAACGCATTGATCCGAGATCAAAGGAGGGGGGTCTGGTGGTGATAATCTCATCATCGATGCATAGAAACGAAAACAGCTTTCTGGTCAACTTTCTTTGCAGTTGTGGCTCGTGCAAAACGCTAATTAGGTCATGTGCAAACTTTGACAATAGACCGTCTGCGAATACACGAGCATATTCCAACTGAAATTGCTTCGTTTGCGACGTCATAAAGTCCTTGTGCAAAAAAATATCAAAAGTTTCGAGGGTAGAATATTTCCAGTTGGAAATGTTGAACTCGGTCAGAAAATCGGTACCATCATCTGGAGATCGCTTTAAAATGTACTTGACCTTGGACCAAAAATGAATGAAAGAGCGTATACTTTTTGTCACCCACAAGGTTGAATCTCCGTCTTCAATTTTGATAACAAGTAAATTCAATAGCTTTGGTGGGAAATGATTGACCGGGGGAGGCGGAGGAACACGGCTTTTATAAACGGCAACACTACGAGAGAAGGGCACCTTGATAGAGAATGTGTTGGTCTTTTTTGTATCAGATTGTTCATTTGATAGCTGAGTAAGTCGCACGAGACCAGCAGAAAGCTCGCCATCTGAAGATTGCCCGTGTAGATGTTTGCACAGTAAATTAAAAATGTCTTTCCGAAACCCATCGGCCTCCAAAAGCTTTGGCGATATGGCCGAACTATCGGCCAAAGCGGCCGCAATCATCATTCCAGAAGCTCCAGGAACCGCCTGTTTGAACTTGCTTGAATAAATAGCCAAAATGGGCTCAATGACATCGATAAAAAAAGTGAAAATAAAAACCAACAAAACAGAAATGATCGAAAAGGAATAAAGACTTAAATATTCGAAAAGGAAATGATCAGTCACTGCAATAAGTATCAGAAGAATGACGGCTGGAGTTGACCTTAACAGCATGTTTACTTGAAACTTTTTCTTGTAGCGAGAAAGATTTAAAGAGATGCCCTTGCGCTCAGCAAGCATTTCCAATATGAATTTTGTATCAATGTACTTGCCTTTGGACATGTTTCTTTGGTAATTTTTCATGGCAATTTTTTCTATCTGCCCAGAAAAGGGCACGAGCCCCGGCAGCTTCAGTGTAGCTCGTTGATAGAAACGACAATACTTTCCGTTTTGGTAGTCCACGACTTGTTTCTCCATATTCCACGGCTCCATAATGACATTTTCATGGATCTCCAAGCGTCCAATAAGAAATTCGTTTGTCGTATTTAGACGAAAGCTCCGCTTTTTTCTATCAAGCAGCATTTCCTGGATAAAATTAAATGTGGAGAGGGAAAAGGCCTTTTTGATGGCCTGAGGAACGTCGATATTGAGCAAACAACGCCTGATGGTGCGCTCTTTGTATTCATCCTTCTCCTCAGACAGAATAAACGAATCTGCCATAACCGTGATGCGAGGATGCTTGGGAAACCTGCGCATGTAGGCCTCGATACAATCTTCCCAAGAATACTCCAGAATATAGGTATTTCGGGCGCGTGCCTTGGAGTCTGGAAGATCGATCGGTGTTACAAGCGGTTCAGAATCTTTTGGGTTAAACACCATTCTTATTCTGGGTACGATGGAAGTCGGAGGCAATTAGTAAGTTTCCATGAAGCATCAACTGTCATCTGATTGGATACTCTGAAACCATTTTGAAATTAGCTTTAAATTGAAGATTATAAAGTTTAATTTCAATTAACGAATATTGTCTACAAGAATGCCCAGGAGCCGCAATCAATGCAGTCTTCCTGGGTCACAAATTCAGGCAAGGGAAGCATGTCAATGCTTGCAATGATAGAAGAAAGCTTATGAGCTTGAATGTCGGAAAAAGAGTCACCGCTAACGGATGCAAGTTTGAAAACCTTCCCCAAATGACATTTGGTCTCCAAAGCATAGCCGGCAAGGTAACATGGAGAAAAAATGCCCATGCAGTCTCCATTTGGAATAGGATCTGCAGAATTATAAAAATGAAACACTGGAAGGTCCTCCATTTTTGAAAGACCCTCTTCATTGAGAAGCCCAAGACGCGAAGCAAAAAGACGCTCACCAGGAGACGCAAATGCAATGGCCGGTGTTCCTGGGAAGGCAGCCCCGAGAAGAGCGGCCAGAGCGCCACCAGTAGAATATCCAGTTACCCAAATAACAGCCTCAGGGAATTCCTTCAACAGCTGCTTGTAAATCCGAACTGCTTGATGATAGTAAACAGGCGGGATATGTTTGTGGGCTGAAGAATCTTGTTGTAGATCGCGAGCCTGGGAAGCATATAGGTCCTGGTTTCTTTTGGAAAATGGATTCGATCTTAGTTCTTGTGCGTAATCAGAGAGACATCTCTTGTTGCAAGACGAGCCTGAAACAAAACACGGACAAACGGGGGTCCAAGTAAAATCAACCCGAGCACAGCAGCAAGAGAACATGAGATTGTTATTGAACTTATCGGCTTCAATTGAAACATCCGAAGATGTATGATACGGAACATTCGCATCGATGGAGAAGACCACAAGCTTCCGGGAGGGATTTGTATACACATACCCACGAATGGCTTGCTCGTCCCACTCTTCTTCGGACTCATCAAATGGGTCAAGGGGAATATCGGCATTTGCCCTTGAAAGAAATGAGTTTGAGGCCATTTTCGCAAGGGACTTGATGGTCTCCTTGTCATCTACAGCCGGCATTTTCGTATGCCGAGCTGCCGCCGATTGATTAGCTTTAACAAAAAAGGAAAGATTGAGATCCTCGTGCAATCCTATTTCAAGGGGAAAGTTGATACCCTGAAGTTCGTTGTCCTCTGTTTCCAGAAAGCTGTAAGCTTTGAAGTAATTGAGTCCCTCATATTGGGTCAGATTGAAGGTGAAGTTGCTATTTAGATACGGGGGAAGTCCATCATCATGCTCGCGCAGAGAGGGCCCTTTATCGATTAAAGACGCCATATAGTAGTAGATCCATGCCAAGAAAGATATTAACATTGGAAACTTTGAGTTGATTGTTACGTGTGCTGGCTATTTATGCTTGTTGATCATCTGTTTATACTGTTGCAAGATCATGATTATCAGAACTAAAAGCAACAATTAAATTTAATGAACAATTAAAGTGGGCATTTTATTAAATTTAATGAACAGGACCGGGTTTATCCGCTACGCTCAGCAGCATCTTCTCAATAGCATGAAATATTATCTTTCCATGCGGGATTATGGCTCTTTGCTGCTTGTTCTTGAAAAGTCCCTTTATCTTTTTGTCGTTTACCCTGAAGAGCTGAGCAAGGTAGGTTTATGCCCCGTGTCGAGCTTTAGATCATGTTTTCCATAATTGACTCCATCCCTTTGTATAACAACCAAGTGAAGATATTTTTGCTGCAACTTTTTGTTACCGACAAGCCCAGAGTAACATATAGCCACATTTTCATCAATAGCGAGTGGTCTATTTGGCAGAGTGTCTTAGGTATCTTTCTAGGTTCCAAATGTATCAGGAAGCCTATGACCTTTTGACAAGGTTTTGCATCATATCTTTTTACCTGCAGCCATTTGGTGCAAAAGCCATATTTGGAGATGCAGATCTTCCACGGCTTTGCCGGATTTTTTGCTTTGAGGATTTGGGAGAGGCTTTCAGCCGAAAATACAGACGGACATCCCAAGGCCAACAATAGTGGCATTCTCTCTTCCCTTTTTGTATTTCAGTCGCATGGGCCGGCCAAGTATCGAAAGCGAGCTGTGGATCATTACAGTGCCTACTTGCGGATCGTTAACAAGAAGGCGAAAGAATCCCCTTTAATGAAATTCTTCCGCTCATCCCCGTTTGTGGAATATGAAAATGTTTTTCTGTATGATTGCGATTTGCTAAATTTGATTCACTCGTCTGCAAACGAAAACTGCGCAGGATCCCCCTGATCCAATTGGTTGATCATTTTATCTTTCAGGACACCTGTTTAATTTTACGATGGTTGAAATAAGGCTGGCAATTGTTGGATACTCTGGAGTCGGCAAATCCTCGCTGGTTTGTGACCGCAATAACACATAGGCGCAACGATATTTGAATAACTTGTTTTCGGCCGAATATGCGCCGACCATTGAGGATGGCCATTACATCCATTTTGAGCATTTGGGCAAGATATTCAATATCGAAATCATCGACACTGCCGGTGATGATCGCTTGCAGCGAACACGAGACCTGGCCATGCGAAGAGCACAGGCCTACTTGATTGTCTATTCAGTCGACTCGGTCTATTCTTTCCAATATGCCTATCAGCTCTACCACAAGCTGCTGAATATAAAGGGACATACATCAGCAGGCCCGAAGGTATGAGCAGCAGATTTCGTAATGTAGTTTGATGCCATTCTGCTCGGAAACAAGATAGACCTCGTCAACGATCATTTGATCACGCGCGAAAAAGGCGAGGCCCTGGCATCTCTTTTGAAAATTCAATTTATGGAAGTATCTGCAAGGACCAATGCAAAAGTAAGGGCTGCCTTTGAGAGCATCATTGCTCTTTCTGCCTCGAAAAGGCTATCCGTCGATACTCTGGATGATAAAAAACATCAGGGAAGAGCAAGACGATGTGAGATACTTTGATTGTAACCTGAAGGCACCACCCCACCCGTTAGGGGTATTAGCCTACATGTCCTTTGAAGAGTGCCGACAAATAAAGTTTACATGTCAACTGGTTAACCCAGCATCGTCAATTTAAGTTTCGGCTTTAAACTTGCAATAGCAGTGATCAACTGATTCTGCATTGATAGCCATTAAGATTTGGCGTAATTTTTCAATTCTAGCAATGGCCCAAAGCCCAATTTATACCAGTGAAATGAAGCAAGTGGACAAAGCCACGAAAACACTGGACCATATTTTGATTTCAGTCGATGATTCGGAGCCGTCGTCTTATGCCCTAGAATGGGTGCTTGGCAACATCATCAACCCTCAAAAACACATCGTCTACCTGTTGAGCGTCGCCAAAATCAACCCGCAGGCATCGATGATATACTCTGCAGGTGTTGGCGGTGGCATCCCTTGGACCATGCTGGAAGAAATCAACCGAGAGTCTCTTGATGAGGCAAAAAGATGCGTCTTGACCCATCATGAGGCAATTAAGAAGGTCTATTCGCAGCTGGAGGTGCATTCTTTGGTCGGTCAGGGAGACCCGAGAGACGAGATCGTCGATGCCGTGTCGAGGATACATGCTGATCTGCTTGTTCTTGGCTCCAGGGGTCTTGGAGCGCTCAAAAGGGCATTTCTCGGATCCACCGGGGACTATTGTACGCACCATGCGCCCTGTTCGGTTCTCATTGTCAAGAAACAGCCAAAAGAAGCAATGGAGGGTCAATAGCCAAAAATAAAAGTTACCTTTTGAAATTCAAAAATAAATTAAAACATGCATTTCTCGACCAAGCCGCTTGAGCTTCTCCCGCGTTTCTATTCTGGATCTGGGCCCAGCGCACTTTCCCCGGACGGATCGATTCTGTATTCATGTTCCCTCTCTACGGAAAATGTACCAAAAATACATGCAACGCTGATCCACGAAGGCGTGGATTCTGTTAGCTCTTTCACCATCGAGCCTAATGCTTATGCAGACGGTGCAGAAAGTGATGATGTCCCAATAGCAATGGCCGCTGCAGATGGGCTTCTTTTTATTTCGTTTCGAATTTCCAACATGCTTAACGTGTACAAGGTTTCTTCTGATCAAAACATTTCGGTCTCCCTTCATCAGAGCATGGTTCCACATTCAAATAACAATCCCGTCATTGGAATGCTGCTGGTCAGGCAAGATTTGCTGCTTACATCGTCTACGGACAAGACGATTCGTTTGTGGCATGTGAGCTCTGGCACACTTACTCTGGTCAACTCTATTCGCCCCGATAGCGTTAGTGTCGGAATGGATTGCTTATCAAATGGAGAGATCCTTGCCACTATTTCGGTCGAGGGAGCCATTCGTCTTTGGAGCCTTTCTACGTGCAAGCCAATCACTGCACCGCTCGTTTCAAGCGAAGTGGCCGGAGATTCGATTGCTGGGTCTGCATGCTTTGCTGTGAAATTCTTTGTCGTTGCATATCGTTCAGGGATTCTTGTAATTTGGGACCTGATGTCAAAGTCTATCGTCCGGAAGCTAGGGTTACCTAGCAGCCTAGTCCAGAATGAAATTACTACGGTTGCCTCGACTTCCCATCAATCTCGAGAAGCTTGGATTGGCACATCTTCTTTGGGAATTTTCCGCTTAACCTCAGATCTGCAACTCGTTTCATCTCAAGAACTATCTATAAGATGTAACAAGCTGCTTTTCATTAAGAAAAAAATGGAGGCTGAGGTCAACTGTAGCAATGTGGAAACCCAAAATGGCATCTGCAGCGACGCACAGCTGAAGCGGCTTCGGGCCGTTGCACTTGGACTGCCAACTCTGCCTTTGATTTCGGTATTTGATTTGGAGGATTATGAAAAGACTCCGATTTTGGCGATGACCACGATTGGTGATCCCGGTGAAGTTACCGACCTGGCTTCGGTCGGAAATTGCTTTATCTTTGCTAGCGATTCGGGTGCTCTTGTCGGAATTAGAGAGGGAAAGGGGTGGCCCATCTTATCTTCCAAGATCGAAGATTCGCCCATTCTATCTCTCTCACAAGGGATAAATGGACGCATAGTTTCTGGCTCAAAGAATGGCACCATTTCGCTATGGCGGGTCCATGACAAAAGTCAACAACCCATTGGTGGGACTTTACAAATTTCTCTACAAGATAGCGTAAATGTCGGCAAAAATGTGGCAATTTCTGGAGTCGCTCTAACACCAAATGACAATATCTTTTCCATTGGCTCAGATGGAATGATCCGTCAATGGAGCATCGAATCTACAAAAATAACCTCAGATTCGGCAATTCTGGGCCATGCTGGCGCTACAATAACGTCCATTGCTGCGTGCAAACACATGGGATCTAATCTCTTGATTACGGGCTCCCAAGATAAGGAAGCAAAGGTGTGGGATGCCTCGGGAGTTTGTCCTGTCCTCAAGCACACACTCACAGGACATACACGAAGCATATGGAGCGTCGCCATTGGCGCAAATACTCTTCGTGCTGCAGTTGCTTTCACTGCTTCTGCAGATATGACCATTAGAGTCTGGAATGCCGATACAGGTGCTGCTCTTTCCGTTTTGGGTGGTCCGAGTGTAGATGGCAGCCACACAGGCAGCATCCTTCGTGTTGCCATCTTTCCACCCTTTGGCGATCAAGATGAAAGCACCCATATCGCTTCATGTGGTGCTGATGGGCTTGCAAAAGTCTGGAACTGGCGGTCGAGAGCATGTGAATCGACTATTGAAACGAAAGAGTTTTGTTCTCAAAAGTTGTGGTCGCTCCTTATCCATCCGCAAGATGGCCGTTCTATTCTTGCAGGTCCTGGACTTATCTTTTCTGAGATATCTGCAGAAGTGGGCGCCAGGGAACATACTGCACGAACAATACAGATGGAGGCCGAGCAGGCACTTAGGAATGCCATTTCTTTGGGAGCAATAGATGATGCGGTCCGTTTGGCGCTTGAAAATAGTCAGCCTTTAAGGCTGCTTGCTCTGCTAAGGCAGTGTCCAAATGCCATCGATCCCCTGATTAAAACTCTTCCCTTGGAGCGACAAAAAAAGCTACTTGGATGGACCAGCGAATGGATTACTGCGCGTCCATCAGATGCTGCCCTTTGCCAGCATCTGCTTGCGCTAATGCTGAATCAATTTCCTCCGGCTCTTCTGCTGGAAGAAGAAAAGAAGATTTCCTCGATGCTTCCCTACTGTAAGCGGCTTTGGGAACGCTTTGATGACGGGTTGATCTCTTTGGGTGCTCTGGATGCACTTCTTTGCTCTATGACCGCAGGCTTGCAATAAACTAATTTATTTCATCAGCTTTTCGCAATGTGTGCCGACTTTAGGCATTTATTGAGTAAAAGTACTCGCCGTTGAAGAGCGATTAGCCTCGCGCTTCAAGATGCGCAAACTTGGCTTTCTTGGCGAACCAGCTTCGTAAGATGTTTACCGTGGGGGTTTCAAAAGAAGCCTTTAGTGGCCGCTTGGTGCCAAGGTAACTATCCATTTGTAAAACGGTATCGACCCATGGCCTCACCAAAGGGATCTTCGCTAAAAGTGATTTTTCTACGTTACACAAATTCTTGCCTTCCTTTACTTTTAACATTGCAGGTGTTCAATTCGATGAGTAATGAATCGATTTTTTACTATCGACTATACTGAACCATAACGAAAGCTTATCAGAAATTGCGGAATTCTTGTTGGTATTCTTTTTATCAGAAAGAACGACGTTGTTGGTTGTGGTGAAAGAGCTATCAGAAGTTGAAAAGAATCCATATACTACGGTACTATTTCTGGCTAGATAAAGTTACATTAGGCCATTTCCACCTGCTAGATTTCTTCAGTCCCATTGCGCGTTGAGGGTTTTATTTCTTGTGATATAAACGGTAGCGTTGAGCATGAGTATATCAAGGTATTGGGCATAACAAAGCAAAGCCATAGGCGATTCACCATAACCTATACAGGTGGCAGCACCTAAATTGTAAGTTCCAACAAAGATGTTCGGGATAGCCAAATCAGTAGAAACATTCGCAGCTTTAGACGCGGAAGTAGTGCAATTTTGCCAAGACCAGGAACGTTAACAGCGACTTGAATGCCGTTACATACGAAAATGTTAACGTTCGTTTCATGTGTGCCAAGTGATCAGCTGATCTCGAAATTACGCCAGGTATTAGTACCAAAGCAGCAGTTGATTCTGGTTTGATAAGTTCCAGGCATGTATGAAAGGTCAAAAATACTAGATCCAATGTCTATGACATTTGTTGAGAAACTGCAAACAATTCCGCTAGAAAGACGGATAGCGGTGAGATTCGCAATCCCAAAAGAGGTCGACGGAATCCACGGGACATTAACTCCGTCCCACAAGCAACGGCCGTTACGTTCTGAATGACAGAAAAGTCAATTACACTCCCGACTGTGAAATCATTTGACACTCCAAAACTGAAAGAATTATTTACAGAATTTGGTAAAAGGCCGGAACAAGCGCTCCAAAGCCCGTTAAATTAAAGACACCGCTTTCGGTGTCATAAAGTACACAGCTTGAAACTACATTTACTGGGATTAATATTTTTATGAGGTAAAAAATATTAGGCAAGTCTGATCGATTTCATCAAGTTCAGCTGAAAGAAATGGTTGAATTTTGAAAGGGAGGTTTATGAGCTTCATCAGGTACATCGACAACCTCAGGCAGAATGTTGAACAAACCTGAAACTTCGCCAAAAAGGGTTTTGGTCGGATCATCATTAGCATAGCCGGTTATAAAGACTCCATAAATAGAGACAGGCATTGCTAGGGATGAAATATCTACAAAGGCCGATCCATTGTTTGTGATATTTGTAAAAGTGTAATTCAACTCAGTCACTTGATCAACAAAACTAATGTTCAAGATCGAGGAGGGTTCAGAGGCTTTACTGAACCAGGTAGTATCCCACTTGACTATAGCTTTGGTAGTGTTCACATTAACTTCTGATCCGTTTGTTTTTGGGTAAGAAACTCTGGGTGGAAAGCCTTGACAAGAAATGGAAGCTAATGATGAGATAGCGCTTCCATAGCTGTTTGAAACTTTTACTTGATAATAGGTGGATATATTTTTGGACAGCTTAAATGAAGATTCACCAATGTCACGAGCAATGTATGTTTTAATAGTTTCATTTTGCTTGCTGATAGTTATTGTAACATTGTCTGAAGAATTAAAGGGTTCCCACGAGAGATTCCACCAAGGCTCATGTTCATTATTACACGCAAATCTTGGAGTTATATTGAGAAATTTCAAGCTCATATTGCCTCTTATCAGCGAACCCAGTTGACTCTGGAATGAAGAAGACTCTGGATTTACTGAATTAGCATTCTCTCCAAATACAAGGCTAGTTGACAATAGGCCGAAAAGTAGAATTATCTTCCAAGACAGTATAGAAGCCATATGGGGCTGCCTATCGGTTGGCGTCTATTTATACATGGTCATGTTTATGATAAAGCAACGAATATCAGCAGCATAACATCAAACGCATAACATCAACAAAATAAAATCAAAAGCATAACATCAACAAAATAAAATCACCAACATTCAGGAGCGAATAAAAATTTTTAATTTAAAATAACCTGCCACTTGCAGTGGAGGAGGCATAAATAATTTCTTAATGGAATTGGCACATTATGCACGTCCCTAACCCTAACTAAGTTTAAATGTAGCCCCAATCGGGTACCTGAAATGCTTTGAGACACCTGTGTATTCCACTGTGTCCGGTTGTGATTGCTTATCTAAACACTTTGGTTTGGGATTGCAGCCCCAAACCCAGTAAATAATAAAGGTTGGATTTTTAAATATGAAGGGAAAAAACTAGTTTACATCCGCAATCAAATAACTTTCTTAACTTTAGTAACAATAAGAAGCTTGACTTCCAGAAGGTCAGACGTCTGGATGTATTTTCCATACCTGCAGACTGTATTGCCTCAACTTTAGGTGGATAGCTGATGTGTATACTGCGTATATGTAGCCTGTTGATTTTAGAATCATCGCTGTGGGTTATTTCGTTACAACGAACTTGATGGCAATAAAATGCATGCGCTACTTGAACCACATATTGAAAGGCTTATGCAGGTGCTCCCTATATCGATTCTAGCTATACAAAAACAGTAGAAGGTACTACTTCTGGAATTAATAATCGAATGTGAATCTATAAACTGTTTCTTACCTGAAAGGCGCCCAAAATTGTTGAATACCATCTGATAATCGAGATTTTTTAATCTTCACCCCGGGTTAAGTTAGTGCAGTTTTCTCTTTATAAATGAATGGGATAAATAAGAGGCTATTATGTACATGGCGGAGATATTTACACCCCGCTTTCGAATGTTTATGGCCTATTCAAACAGGCTCGTCACATCGTGGAAGGGAGTAAATCGGCAAAACTGCGCCTTAAAAAGGCCATGGAAATTTTTACCAAAAGATTGTTCCTATTATGAGTGCCGAAGTTCGCCTAAGGTCGAATGATTTTGTTGGTGGCGAGGTTTTTGCATATCTGCTTTAGCTTCCGGTTTAACGCATATAAGAACATGCACGGATTCCCCTAAAGATCTTAAAGCTTACCATAACCGGTCTTCTTGCACCGATGTGTTCAATTTCGAAGATGCCACTGTTGAGACCAACTTTATAATTCTTGCCGACAGATTGTCGATCGTCGAGGTATAAATTTTTAAAGGTTTTCATCAAGCCTACACGCCATCGCCTAAGCTTCACAAAATAAAAACCGCTATGAAAAAGGAGTATTGTGAC